CTACGCGGGGGGAGTTGTTGGTATCCACCAATGGTTGGGTTTTTTAATCAGTATTGGCAGGTCGAATGAAGCAGAGCGACATCATCTGGACGACGACTGCTCGAGATGCAGGGGGGGAGTTTTGGTGACGGTTGTTGGAGCTTTCAAAACACGTCCCCCCCCCCCCCCCCCCCCACCCCCCCCCCCCCGCGCGCGTGATGCGTCGTCGACTCCAATTCGCGCCATCCCCCTTGCAACGTGCCGTTCATCTCGGCCATGCGTGCACACGCCGGCGCACACACTGGATATTGTTCCACGACCCTGAATCTCCCTTGTCGCGATGACGATCGTCGAATACCAACTGTTCGGTGCGTTGGAACCTTTCTCTTCCGGCAAACACCAAACGCTCTGCTACTACTACCGCGACGGCCGATGGACCGAACACGGTCTATTGCGATGGGTGAACACGATAGACGCGCCAGCAATCGGGTTGCCGGGAGCTGCAGGAATGGCGCGCCATGTCTTGACCGCGCAGTAGTGAACTCTTCGGTTTCTTTCGCCGCAGCTGTTGACATAACGCCTTTCTCCGGGGCATGGCCCTTGGACGATATGGCGGTCTTGTTTAGTTCCAGTGTAGCATCCCGGTCCTAAGTAGGATTGTTTGTTATGTGCTGTGTTGCGCGCGGACGTCGACGTTATGTGATAACACGTACGAGGGGATCGGCAGTTAAAGTGGTTGGGGTCATGTACCGGAAACTGCGTGATCTCTGAAAATTGCTTGCGGTTTGCGGTGATTCGGTTTTTCGAAGGTGTCGTTCGAAACGGTGACCATTCCTGTCCCCGCCCTGTCACCACATCTATCTGTTGGCCCCCTCCTGTATTGCCGCGAATGAATGCGTCTAGACAGCAGTTGAGCCCCTCAAAATGTAGAGATAGTTGTTCTGTGAGCCGTCGGTTGTGCCGTGTTTCTCGACATATCCGACAAATCGGACGTTATTGGTCGTGATACAGAAAGACGGGGGCCTGAGAAAAAGGTTCCACGCGCTTGTGCATTGGAGAATTTCTCGAGAATTTTCTTGTGGAGGTTTGAAAAGAAAAGTGGACGGCATGTATCTAGAGATCTGGTGCAATGGGTGAGTGCGTGGATGTTGTAATATATGTTCGGATGTTGGTCAAATATCTGCTGCTAGGTCTTGGCGGAAATTCTACGGTAGGTACATAGTGATACCATAAGTACCCCACGGCCAGCGAAGTAGAGAATTTATTCGGCTAGGACACCACAAACAGGTTATATGCCTGCCAACCCCCGTGATCTTAAGCATCGTCGAAAATATTTCTTCGATGCGGTCTAGGTCAAGAGCTCAAAACTTCGAGTACTGTTGTAGGCGTGACATTCGTCCCGGAGTACTGTAGTTCGCCTTCCTGAGTGACAACGAGGGATGTGCATGACGAAACCGTCATCGACCCCCACCTTAAAACAAACAGCTTCCGAGAACCATCTAGAGGACAGGCTGAGGCAAGCCGCGTTGCGAATGTGTAGGATTAGCGAGGCGTTCTTGGGTGTGTCACGGCTTATCGACTACCGAATATACATGGTCGCGGTCCGCAGCAAGACAGAGCAATCTTTGGTCCCCAAGACTCATATTATTTCATTGTTCTGCCGTCGCGAGACACCGAGGTACCCCTGTGTGGCTCGTCACCACCCACTCTTTCGTTTTCTGCGGCGGACGACGACAGCAGTCTGACCCTTCGCTCTTCGACCAGAGCGCTGCATCAATGCCGGAGCCAACTCGTATGCACCCACCGCCGGGTGCTTCTGTAACCTGGGGTCTTCGCATCCCCTTTTCTCGAAACCCAGAGTTCATTTCATTGCTGGTGAAGCCAACTCGTGTGCACCCACCGCAGGGTATTTCTGGGACCCGGGATCCTCGAGAAAAGGCTCGAAATCGGTACGCTGGGTACGTAGAGGCGAGTGCCGGACACATTGAAGGATGGCAGCATGCGTTGTACACGAAACCGACATGTGTGTCGACTATGTACCGAATGTAGAAATCGAGCTTGTTTTTCTCACACGAAAGGAACGATCATCCGCGAATCGCGACCTTCAAGAAGGAATCCCGGCCGCGCGCCCAAACAATACCATGACCGACCTCGATCCAAGAAACGCTGTTCCCGAAGCTGTCATGTCAGGTGGGGTGGGGTGTGTGGGCGGTGGGGTAGCACCTCCATTGTGTGATGTCCACGAGAGACAGCCAACGCGGAAAGGTTCCGGAGATGGTGCTTGCTCTGCTTCGCACAGCCTAGGGTGGCATTGCTTTCACCAAACTTACTGAAAATGCACAGGCACCTTGCGCTGCCGTCGACTGAACTCTGCAGCGCAGCACCTAAACAGGATAATCTATTGGACTACGACCCCAACCAAAAGATAGCGTGCCCTAGCGCAAAAGCCTCACGAATCCCAACACAATGAACCATGGAACGTGTCACATTACGCTTAACACCCTTGACAACCAACATATTACCAACACGATGTCAGACAGACACGAAGTCATTTATCATGCCACGACAGATACCAGGGACCGAAGGGTTGGCTGGTACGGTCTACTTTCAGCCATAAAGTAATCATGGAGCCGGTGATACGCAAAACCAATACTTCATAAGAGCCAGCCTCTTCTGCACGAAATACCCAACACAACTCAGTTACCATGCTGCAAGTCCCCTCTTAATCGTCCCTGTCTACACGTTGTAAATTTCCGCCAACTCCAACTACGCTCAAGCACGCAATTCCCACCAACATTTCCACAGCCGGAACGAAGGAACGCTCATAACAAAACCCTTTTTGCCCCTAACGACACCCTGACCATCTCTGCCCCCCCTCCCCCCCCCCGTCATTCTCGCGGTCACCGTTACAGTAACTCCATTCTGAGCAACACAAGAAAGGTGTCGTGGGTCAACGCGACCTTACTATTTCACAGGATTCGTGTGTCCGTTGCCGCTTGGTGCCGCCAAGAGCCTGAAGGTCGAACAGTGTCTCGGTGGGGACGCCCTCTCCTTCTTCCCAAACATGGATCTATGCCTGCCCTCAAGGGTCTGAGCCTCCCGTCTATTGATTGCGCCTTTCCCACTCCACATATCGTGGGTTCACTTCTCAAGCCTGGCAACACGAGTCATAACTCAACTACCGGGTACAGCAGGCGTTGGTTTGAGATGTGACAAATCATAGCACGAGTCGGGTTCTGTTTGATGCGAAGGATTCGGCAAGCGCCTTGTGCCCTCATATTTCGAGGCATCTCGCTGACATGCGCCTCGCGAAACCAACCACCGAACGAGCAACGAGCGTAACCCTATCCACAAGGCTGCTGAGAGCACTCCTACTACGCTGGCTTTCACGAACAAGGTGTAATTCTTCGCAGGAAAAAAAAAAAAAAAAGGCTCGCGCAAGCAAGCCGATCGGCCCGGCCGATTGCGGGTCCCACGCCACGCCTTGGTCCCACGCCACGCCTTGGTCCCACGCCACGCCTTGGGAGCGGATGGTTGGATATACAGTCCCGAGGCCAAAGCTCCCCACGCCAGGCCGCATGGCAGAGCACACCGCGAATCAACCGTCTTCTCGTAGCTCGCTGGCCTGTTCCTCATGCCCAGCTGAGAACGCGAGAGGGTGGTCACCTTCACTATTTCCTGATGCGCCTCCACGAGCGCAGGCAGTTTCTTCCGGAAATCGGGTTGGAGTTTTGCGTACCGCGGTGCAGCACCCAAGCCTTACGCCTGCAGAGCGGTTGGATCGATTTGCGGGCGGGATATGACCGGAAGTACGGTTGTGTGGATAAGGCTGGAAGGATCGGGCTCTCTTTTCGTTATGCGTCCAGTTTTTCCATGCATGTTATTGGTGCGAGTCACTGGCAACTTATCTGCATTCCATGTTTGCTGCCAAAGCAAACAAGGGAAAGTAAACAAAAATGACGAACGTAAAGCAGCCTTCCGAGCCTGCCCTTTAGTCTGGAATCTGACAAAGAACAACATGGCAAATAAACCCTCTTGTACTTCGAAACGCGTCACCAGTGACCCTACCGCATGCTAGGTTGGCCAAAAATACCACCCCCCCCTGTACCGATTGTTCAGCTCGAAAAACTCCACCGTGACAGGACGCCAAAATCAAATGATACTTTTTCGGAAAGCTCTCGACAACACGGTTCCACCGCCATCATTTCCGGCGCCATTGCTAGACTGCAGCAGAGAAATCGGACCTTGAAAAATCGGTCCAGCGGTGTGACATGTGGTATAACTCACGCAGCCTACGGTATTCGGTGGCGCGTGCTACTTCAGTTCTCTCGAGATTGAGTCCACCGGTCTATATGGTCTAGCCGAGGCCGAAGGCGGCTGTCGCATGGGGTTTGTGTTCTCGTGAATATCCGAAAATTAAGACTTTCTGGTGCGACGGCGGGGGAGGGAGGCGTTCATCTCCCCTTATCGGATTTCCTTTGTTTGTTTTCGGAATCTTTCCAACACGGCTGGCGAAGAAATGCCGCCCTTCAGACGACGATGACCACAGCAGTCCGTGTTGGTAAGAGATCAGCCGAGTTATTGCGCGCTGTGTTTCGTTGCCTTCTGAACGGTGTTCCAAGAACAGCACGCGTGACCATGGGCGGCTAGCCTTTCGCAACAAACGACTAGTCCGGATCAATATTCACATGCCAACCATCGCCACCCGACACCTGAACACACGCCTCCTCTAACACACTCCTGATCGCAGAGGCATCAGTGGTCATATCCGCTGCCCTCTGCTACGTCTATCGCGTACCGAGATGCAGACTTAGTAGACAGCACAGCGAATAGTGAAGCGACGCTAGCCTAGCCGTCACCCGGCGAGCGGACTAAACTTACTTGTATTTTTCGCGGTATGTACGGCAATAAAATCGGCCGCACGAAGTGAAGTACCTATTCGGTGACCACATAAGAAAATTGTCTATTCGGTGCACGTGCAGAAAACGAAGAAAAAACAAACTAACCGGTAGCAGGCCTCCGCTCCCCGAAGCCCCCGCCTCGGCTGCCCTCGCCTCGACCTCCCTCCCCAGCAGCTTCTCGAACAGACCGCCCTTGCGGGGTCCCCGCTCTCCCCCGTCCGTGCCGGACAGCACCTTCTCCACCGCGCTGGCCGAGACCAGCTCCACCGTGTCGCCCATCCGGGTGTGCGTCACCACTCCGTCCTCGACCACGCAGAGGAAGCGCTTGCACCGGGGGCCCATGCCCTGCGCCGAGAGGTCTACCATCATGCCCAGCTGCACAAGCGCGTCGTGTGCGAGGGAATAAACAAGCGGTGCGGTGGGAGGGGGGGGGGGGGAGAGGGGGGAAGACAGGGGGGGGGAAAGACGTTCATTGTGAGATGCCGACAAAAAGCAGCTATTTTATCAAGGGAGACCATGACATGCTCTGCGTGAGGAAACGCTGCCAGCAAACAAGAGCACAGTAGCACGAGCCGTTCACTAGCAAGGTATGCAACTTGTCGGTCTATACGCCTACGGCTCAGCAGTTGCAGGCGGCTGCCTAGCGGAATGGTAGGTGCGCAAGACGCGAGCTAAAGGCTAGGGAAGGCACGCGCGGTAGAGACTCCAAGGCGAGGCTCTAGGTTCTGTCATCCAAACACGTTGTCCTGGCCGCCTTACCGCAGCAGAGAGGTCGCCGTTGCCGTCCGCGAGCATGAGCACCTTGTCCTTAGCCTGCTGGCTGTCCTCCCACGCCTTCATCACGTACGCATCGTTCACGGAAATGAACGCCACGAGCTCGGCACCCTGCTCAAAGGCAACCGTTTTGCAGGAATGAGGGCGCGTGTGTCGGTCGACACGGGGAGGCTGCCTCGGAAGGGAACTATAGCCGAAACAGCGATATGCTGGTAGTAGCGAGTCCGGAGTTTGGTGCCTGTAACCATCGTGGGATACCCCGCACTCCATACGGAAGAATCGAACGGACATTCAGTCACCACGACTAAAAAAAACAAAGAAGATCCCAAGCCAGCAGCACCGAACAGGCCGATCGCTCGTCTGAGGCAGTCGTGACTACTTCCGTTCAATACAGTTTTTTCTCCTCCCTTTGGGCGAGGGTGCGAACACCGAACGACGCGTGTGAGGAAAACTTTCGACGGGATCATTTGAAAGCGCCTTGCCTCATCATTGCTAACTGCTTTTGATCATGATGGAGCAATGGAGCAAACTGTGACATCAGGGCAAAGGGAAGTGCGATGACTCGCACTCTTACGGTACACAAAAAAGCCGTAGGTTGCAGAAGATACCACCCCCCCCCCCCTGGACCGATTCTCAAAGCTCGAATACTCCGCTACAGGCACAGCAATGATCGTGCCAAACATGGCGGTGTCGGAACCGTCTTGTCGAGAGCTTTCCCAAAACGCACCATTCGATACATGGACATCATCTTCCGTCATCTGGCCGGAAAAAACGGTCTACCGGGTGTGGTATCTTCCGCAACCAACAACGCGGAACATACCTTCGCGGCGAGCACTCCCGACTTGTCCACGAACTCGGGGAGATGGACGGCCGAACAGGTGGGCGTGAACGCCCCCGGAACGCCTACTAGAACTCCTTTCTTTCCGGCGAAGACGTCTCTGATCGAAAACTCCTTCACGATGCCGTCATCGTCGAGACGCCTGAACGAACGCCAGAAAGAACAAAAAGTCCAGGGTTTCAACAACGAGTCCACCCACGTGAACCAGCTGGTGTACAGCAGTTACTCTCGCTGACTTTTGCTGTGGTTGGACAGACCTTTGCTGTTGGTGGACTGACCTTTGTTGTCGGACAGGTATTATATTTGCCGGCCACGCAACGTTCATCGCTGCAAGGGGGTCAACACATGCATCTGAGTTCCTTGAGTGTAATGTGTACTCTTCAAAAAGGGCCCCTATTGTCGCAAGTTTGACGTACATAGTAATCTACAGACTTTTGTGTTCGAGGAAACTCATGTTTCGTATGCAGTCGTGTTGGTGTCATCGCCCGACGTACACATAATAGCTTGCCTTGGCGCACACACGAAAACCGGCAGCACCCCGGTGGACCTCCCCCCAAGATATCATCCGCTCCGTCCTTCATTCGTTCGTAAATGAGGGGATCACGGCTTTTCCTAGCACGGGGACTGACCGGTTTGCCAAACACGCGATGTGACTGAACTTTCTTATTTTACCCCTTTTTGGATTTCCTGCTGCTTTTGTACTGCATGTGTTTCCCGGTCGGGTGTCTTACAAAACTCGCGGGTGGAGAATTGCACTCTTGCTCTACCGCAAATCAACTACCCCAGCTGGAAATACAGAGCTCAGGAAAGGTAAAGTAGCGAATAATCGTGCTGTCCTTTTCGGTCGTGTACGCCGTACGTTCGACCCCCCCCTAATGCCGGAGGTTCTCCGTCCGAGACTTCAAGTAATAGCACCAAACCTGGGCACAAACGAAACTGCACAAAAGAAAGACTGCGGTACTGCGTATTCTCTCGAACGGGCGTATGTAGTATTTCTGTTAGATTATGTATACATTCTAAATGGCGTGTTTGTAGAGCAGGCTGAATCAGCCACGTGCATAAGAAACTAAGATTGGAGGTGTACGCGTTGCCAGCCCCCGAACGACACTACAGCTGTATGTACAGAAGTCACTATATCCTTGGGGAGTCGTCAGTATTTGTGATGACACCTCGCGGTGTCAGCAGCACGGTCACACCCAGGAGGTGCATTTTTTTTCTTTGCGTGTACTGCTGTATTTCAACTGGGGGGTAACGGGATCATGGTGCACTTTCTCTGCTCATATTTGCCAGGCCTTGGAACACTACTTCTGACACGAGTGGAACAAGGTGCAAGCACCTGTCTACGTACTCGCGGTGTTACGCGTATAATAGAACAGACACGCAAACCTTCTTTTCGGCCAATAGTCTGCTTGCTCCAGAGGTACGTCACCACCTGCTGATTCTCCGTGCACACGGGACACGAACCTATTCTGGGCGGAGGCCGCCGTGAAGCGGAATACAGACAGACACAACCAAGATCAACCTGCAGGAGGGAGCGCTACGCACTCCTACTTGTGTCTCTCCCCTAGGCCTTGGATGCGCTTGGTGCAGCGACCGGCGTACCATCAGCAACTGCGTATAACGAACGCTGTTAGCCGCGTACGTGGAGTGCACATGTTTGTAGCCTAAAGCTTACCTCACGATCGAATCGGGAAGCCGATCGCCGACACGGACGCGCGCCAAGTTTCTTTGAGCGAGGCGCACCCATCCTGGCGTTGATTGCTCCCCGCGGCACACGTCGGCCGTATCCATCGTTAATCTCGGCGCTGGGCCCGCGCTGCTGCTTGTGCGCCCACGACGATGATGGACGCGGACGGGTGCGCTGGCTAAATGGTAATTGGTGTAAAAACAGTCTGCCGTCAGGAACGACATCGCCGACAAGAACAGAACGGCTTTCGTCATGGTGCTAGAGCAGGGCATCATTTAGATCCCGGCGGTGGGGTGTGGTGGGAATCACCAGGGCGTCCTTTTCTCTGGAGGAGTCAGGCTGCTGCTGCAATTGCAGTCAGAGGGTCCACGCCCCGCAGATAGTATCGGAGGAGGGGGGGCAACGGTTTCTCGGAATGACGAGGCGTTTTCTGGCGTTTCGCATGTATTTTGCAATTTTGCTTGCTCGGTGTTTTTTTCGCGCTGCCACTGCTCTTGTTCGGCGCCCATCATGAGCATCGATCATTCGGTTTATTTCTGGGTAGCAGGCAACACACAACAGCGCCAGAGGGGCACACGTCTTTTACTTTCCAGTCGACGGGTCGAGGTGAGCTCTGTTGTGTGTGTATACATACTGCGGTAGGTCGTCTCATCCTCGTATGAACTACGGCACCTCGCCTATCAATCTCAATCGTGTCGTGTGACGATCAAGCGTGTGGCCCTGGTTGATGTTCTCCGTGCGCATGATGAACCGTATCGAATTTTCTTCAACAACTCCTCTGCAGCGGTGTCACCTATTTCTTCAACAACTCTCCTCCTCAACCGTGCCGCCTCAACGAGTCAACTACAAACGTTCACCTCTTTTACTCAGGAGAGGCAAGGGCAAAAAGGAGCAACCACCACGCTCTCTCGTGCCGAGTAGTCAGCATGCAGCTTGCTTCCTCAGTTGCTACTCGGGCCGCGAGGCTGGCTCCTCGAAGCGTGATCCCGTCGACCCCGAAACCTGCCCCAAAGATTCCCGGACATCTACCTGGCGCGTACAACCCATCGACCGCTCTTTGGCATCATGACTCGGGGGAAACTTCATCGATCCAGGTGAGGTCAGTGTATGTGACAGCATTCATCATACGCATCGGTTCACACCACACTACAGTTTATGAGTCTCAGGGCCAATATGACCGAATCGGAAGGGGTTATCATCTCTTCGATGCAGCAGTTGGCCGCATCTATACATGCATTCTGTTCCCGCAACAATCTTATTGGGGCTGAATCGCGGGTACCATATAAAGTATCGTCGTCACATGGCCGAGATTTGGGTTCGAGTCACAGTTTTCGGCCCTCCATGTTGTACATAAACGCTCTCTGTGTCTCGTATTCATGTCGGGCTGAGCAGCGCGATAATTGCGTGTAAAGAGAGAAGAAAACGCTTCTTGATATCTTCTGTATGCATACAAACCCCGACCGGCGCTGAATGGCTTTCGCTGACAAAGTTGAAGGGACGGTTGGGTACAGCAGCAGATCCAATTCCATCCGCACCTAGTACCATGGGTTTTTGAGCGCGGATAGAATGGGGAGATATACATCACACTGCTGCGAAGACTATGATACTGCTCAGGGGGTAAGTAGAGCACAGGTAGAAAACATGTTCCGCTTCTGTAAGAAAACAGAATATAGTCTTCTTACTCGACTGACTTTATCTGGCATTCATTTTTTTTTCCCGGCTCTAAAACTGTCTGTCGAGTTGAGGATAGGAATTTACGAGGATGGTTCCTGCTGGCAGTTTATACGTGTTCAGTGTGACATCGGTGCACACAAACACGAACTACAGACACGCACACACACGCTGACACACCGTAAGGAGGAGTCCTGCATTGTTGTGTGGGGCTCGCATGAATGGGGGCGTGGGTTTGCGTTGCATAGGGTGACCGCCAGGGGCATGACAAAGGAAAATAGAGTAGCAGCTGACTGCCCTGACAGCATTCAATAGCAATAGCACAGTCGTGTTTCGTGTAAGCTTTATCTTCGCTGCCTCACCGTTTCCGAACCCCCCCATCCCGATACCCACGCACTATCGCCTCTCGAAGACCGTGAGAGACGAGACGGAACTGGCGCAGCTGTTGGACGCCACCCGGCCCAGCTCTCTCGTAGTAGTCAAGTTCGGCAAAGCTCTCTGCAAAGCTTCCAAGGCGGTCGAGGAAAAGTTCAAGCAAACGGCTGCTGAGTTTTCCGAGTGCGATAAAACGGACGTGCAATTCGCCAGCGTCGATTCGGGCAGCAATTGGCTTCTGTGCAAGAAAATGGGCGTCAGATCGGTGCCCCACGTACAGGTGTGCTTGAGAACGGATCGCGACTGTATGTAGGGGAAGTGGCAGCAAGCTGGCTTGCCTTCGGTCCGGCGTGACAAGCCAGGGCTTCACGCATAACATATTTGAGCAGACCATTATTAATGACCTGTCTGTGTATACCACCGTTGTCTTCGGGACCAGGTATACTATTGTAGCAAGATGCTTGACGCTTTTTCTCAAAGGTAGACCACATTCCCCGCCATAGTGTCGTTTCTGGATAGCCCCACGCAATAAAACGTGCGTGGTTGGTATTCATTGAACCGAACGTGGGTCTACGCAAGTTTTGCACCAGATTCGGTAAAGGTGGGTCCAGACAGCAAAAAAGGAACATACACGAACCTCTCTTGACATGACGTATTGTGCAGAAAGGTGAAGCTGAAATCCCCACGGTTGCACGTTAGTTTTAACTGGCCCACTCCCGAAACGTTACCGAGTTGATAGTCTCTCCGCCGCCGCGCCGGCTGGACCTGTCCGTTCGCGCTTTCCTCGACCCGTTTCCCTCAGATTTTTTCCGGCTACAACGGCAAGATTGCCGACTTCAGCCTTGCCCCTCCCGAATACGATACCCTCGACGCTCTGCTGGGCGAACGGCGCGACTCGATGCTCGCTTGGAAACAATAGGAAGCTCAGGCATGACAACCAACAAAACATGCAGGTGCTCTTCAGTCAGAGCGCGTTCCCGCTCCCAATACTTGACGTTCGCCAGACTCGTTAGATAGACAGAGGTTGTTTGCGAACGTGGATCTTACACGTTGGGAGGGGGCATGAAGGGACAAGCCGCATGGCCACTGTGACTGGCCTATCCGCCTGACTTGCTTGTGATAGTCTGGGGGGTACATAGTGTCCTGAACATTCCTGCTGGGAATGCGGACTACGACGGACCGAGCGGAAACGAGGGGTCATCGTTGAAGTTTCGTCTCTAGGGACGTATGTTCCTGCTGCTTGTAGTGCAGTCCCCATGTAGCGTCGTTAGCCGGTCTGCTTGTTGTATGTACTTTTCGACCTTGACTCTGTCCACGAATTATTATAGATTTCGAAGACGTTATGTGCTTGTTGCTGGCGTCGATAGTTGCAGGCGCTGGCGTTACGAAGGTTTTTTGTCAGCAAATATATTAGATGAAGAATAAAATCAGTGGAATTTCGGGGGTACGGTCAGGGTTAGGGTTAATGTTAGAGTCTCCGTAACCCATGCCTCATAGATAAACTTTATTTCCTCGCGTGCAGCCCGTTGCAGGTCGTTCGGGAGCACATGTTCTCCTGCCGGCATATATTTGCACGCGCTCGGTAAAACGCGTCGATATTTAATTATGCCGTCTTATTTTTTGGCGAGTTTGAACTAACCTTGGCTGTCTACTACGTAGTAGGCCATAAGGCGGCAGTGACAGCTCGGTGGTGAAGTCATTCTCCTCGTGCAGGTTTTTCCCTTCTTCATGATCCTGATTCAAACACTTCCAATAGCTTGCCCAGATATCTGCGAGGAACACATGGGAACTACAGCGATGTTATGCCATACGTCCAGCGCGGGCGCGAGGGTGGGAACCCAGGCATCGCTGTTCGCTCCCTTCAAAGCCACGACAAAATTGTTTTCTACACCGTCTGTCTGTAGTGTGGAAGTGCGCGGCGAGTGACGGACTGACTGATAACTTTCAGTTGGAAGATATCCAAGCCGCACGTGTGACAGCCGAACCGCCGCGGCATCAGCTATTACTCCGTCGGCCGTAATACATATTTCACGTCCTCGGCAGGTTTGAGCTTGAGTGGTGACCCCTGCGTGACAACCTGCGTGACAACCGGATGCGTCTCGCTCGTTGTTGGCTGTCAAAAACCGTACCAATGTTAGTTTCTTCTCTGATGTTTTAACCATATCCAGCGCAGCTACACGTACGTTCGTTCGTGAATTCGTAGTAGCCATGAAGTATGGCTAGTGTCCGTGTGGGGAACACTTCATCATGGCGCAGCTGCAGCGCAGCGCCCTGGGTGCCTGCTGCGCGAGCGCGCGAGCGCGCGCAGCACGTTTGTTTGGTGTGTTTTGTGGACCCCTTCGTGTCCAAAGATATTTTGTCAACCGGCGCATACAGAGGCCTCTTTACCAAAACCCTTGAGAACCGCCTTAGTCACGACTTTGGTGGGCTGCCCTGGTGGTATGGCGGGCATCGGCACTTTGCCGCCCTTACTACATGGTTAAAGACAAAGATCGTATCCACTACATACAGGTACGGGTCCCACATTATTTACAGCGTTTCGTATTCGCAGGTAATTGCCGCTGTGCGTGTGTATTCTGGTTGCTGTCGAACCGAGCAGTAACTACAGAAGTCCCCTGCATTGTGTAGCCAACACCAGCATCACTTCCATCGGCCCATGTGGCTACTACTGCTTGTGTACACCAGAGAAGGCCTATAATAGTGCCGTATGACCCAGCCATTCTCATTCTCATCATTCTTCCGACATCGCCAACGGCGCATCATGAAAACGGGGTATCCAAAGTTCCCATCCACGAGCCCCCGGACCGGAACCAGAAGAGAGACAAAACTCCACTACACTAACCCGCAATACCAGCGCACAGGCAGCGGGCGGTCGAGGCATTGCAGGTATACAAGGATATTGGACAACTAGTTCATGTCCTGTAGGAGTTATGGCCTATCGAGAGCTGCAGGGGAGGCTCCAGCTCGCTGAGCAGCAGGTGAGCTTTCGCATCGCATATACTGCTGGTAGTCTACACGTGTTTCGCCGCAGTTTTTGTTCACTCTTTTGGCGGCGAATCCGGGCGCCGCAAGAGATCATGCGTTTTTGCAAAACTAGGCAGCTAAATACATCTGATTAACCCGAGTGTTTGCCCTGGATCGCCGTGGTTTTACGCCGTTTCCGGCCGTGCTGACCGCGACAATAAGCTCTCCTCTCTTCGCGTCTATTGTGCTTGAGTTTAGAGTCCACGGGACCCCCACCCCGATCAAGCTTTGAGCTGCACCGATTGAGCAGCACTGCTGGCTGTTTGTTTCATGTGAGATGCGTGTGAGTGTGCACGGAAGTACGACTTCCGTGACAGCAAGAGGTCGACAAGCGTTTTTCCATGCACACGTCTACAAGAGGTTCGCTTGGATGGCAACCGTGTTTGCACACAGCAGGACAGAAACTATCTCAGAGAGTCAACGATCGAACTTACCGCCGTGCTCGGTGTTGCGTGCGACTTGACTCCGCCGCCGCTGCTGGTAAGGTTTTGTACTTGAGAACTCAATTCTTGTGCGGCGATCCTTTCTATGTCTCCGGCTGGTACGCCCAGGACTGTACCGGAAAGGGTGAGGACCGACGTGCAAAATGAATAGGATGCCGGAAAAAGCACTTGAGGAGTGTGCGCTTCTGCGCACTGCTACTGGTGTTGCGGCGGGCACTGCTGTATGTTTGACCATGCTGATTTGAACTTCAAATCCACTCCTCAAGGCTTTCCCGCGCAACACGCAGGTCCGCATGTACCGGGAGGCGATGGAGCACCTCATTGCGGCGCCCCCAGCAGCCTGCCCGGCCGCTTGCCATCCAAGAGCAAGCCCAATCTCTACCACAGCAGGTGTCGCCCAGGAAAGCTTGTCCAACGTCTCCGCCGGCGGGGAGAACGATCCCGGCGCTACGAAGCCGGCACCTGGGGCAGTTCCAGACGTCGCCACCACTGGAGGAGCGAAAGCGGAAGCAGTTGCTGACGGTGACGACGATAGTGTTTTAGATCACGGGAGAGGCGGAACGAAGAAAGGGGTCCCACGACTTAGCTCGGGTGATGCGGAGGGAGCGGAGACCTCGGCGGGCAGCACAGCGGGAAAAGGCCCCAACGTAAGCACGCCACCCCCGATACCGAGTCTCACAATAACGAGCACACCGCTGTAGATTGTTCCAGTGTTGGTAGATGCTGCTCACCAACCGTTGGTGGATGCTACTCATGCCGGCGGTGGCTATTGGAAAAGGTACCGCAGAATACAGTAGTACTGTTGCCGTCGTTCTTCAGGGATACTTGCGTAGATCGCCAACCACGGCACTGTGCTTTGGCGCACGGTGCCGCGGCCACCTGGTGGGTGCCCTTCAGCAACACGTCTTGACCGTGCCGACCACCAGGAATTATGTGGAATTCGATATCGCGTGTCTCACCGGGCTACACACAGCAGAGTGTGGGCACGGCATTCCACCTTCCCCCCCCAAATACGTCAAGTCGTCGTTGTTTGTTTACGCACCTCCAACACGACACGGCGGTGCTGGGCCGTGCTCTATTTGGCAACGGCCTCGTTGCCCCCCGACATGCACATTTCGCAACCGTCCTCGATAGCACTGCTTTTTAGGGGAGCGTAAAGAGCATAAAGTTGCGAGAAAAGGTGAAGTTTGCAAGCTTTTCTCGCAACTTGTACGCTCTTTCCGAGAGCAAAAAGTTTTGTTTTTGACCAAAATCGCAATGGCAATATTCGCGCGATCTGGGGCAAGAATGTTCTCGCGAAAAATGTGTTGGACAAAATTTTCGCAGCGAGACTTCCACCAATCCACGTCAAGCACCTGCCCCTACCACACACGTAGACCCTCTCCCGCCACACACACGCGCACGATCCAAGCCACAGTTGAACGGCCAAGTTAGAATACTTGTACGATGAGTGGGAGTTGCTTGCGATGGTCGCAGCTGTATAGAACACGTATTTGTAGAGTCTGCGTCAACAGTTTGTGTTGAATGTGAACATGATCGAGGTCTGCCTGGCTTCGATTGGAAGGCACAACGCCAGGTTTTGTGTCACCAACTCGTTTTCCAAGATTTTTTTGCACGCTCTGGCCGGTTTCGCGGTGCCTGCATCTCGCCGTTGTCCAATAAACAAACAATGAGCACGCCTCCGCATTCCATCAGGCCCGTGAAGAAAATTTCCTTCGCCCCTATGTAGTGAGCCTGCAATAAAAGTATTATTGACAAAAGTACCCGACCAAAAGTCGCCAATAAACATTTACTTTTGTCACAACTTTATTCTCCGGGAAAAAGCGGTAGGGACAGTTCCGTCACCGGCGACATCCAATAGCCCATCAATCGACCCTTGTGCCTTCTTCAGCTGTCTTCGGAGGTTTTTCGAAGTGAGCAGACATGCTGGATACAGTATAGCATCGTCTATGTCAGACTTAGGGTCTGCGTGCACCCTCCCAGGTCCTTTTTCGTAATAAACGTACCTTCTGTGCGTATGCAGTCGCATTTCACGCTCTCACCGTATCGCCTGCCGCCCCGTGTCTATGGCTACAGATTTGGGGCTTTATCGGGGGTGCCGTGGGGTGGATCGGGGAGGGGACGGCGGGCTGGATGGCGCAGTCGGAGGCTAAACGGGAGCACCATCGGCTTCTCGCAGAAGTCGGGAAGGTTCGAAGACGACGGGCGGCGGTGTGGCGAGAGAGGGAGCTGCTGGCGAATACACGAGGTGTGTGCTTTCCCCAAGTCACAGATTCGGGTCGTGTGGACGGGCAAAAGGTTGGATTGCACGTCACCTGCCTGTTTGAGCGAGTCCACGCCCATGTTTTTGTCGATGATTTACCCGTTGCGATTGTCTTGCGGTGACGACGCGGAAAGCATGTTGACAGCCTGACTGTCCTTGTGCTTGTGTGCATAACATTCCGCGCATGCCTGTGTCGGCCAAGGCTTCGTTGCATGCCAGCCCTGGACGGCATGCCCGCAATATTGTGTCGGCGATGCTGCAGAAAGCAGTTTCGTAGATCCGAGAACGTCCGATGCCAAGAAATTCCTACTTTAGTGAAAAGCTGGTGTTATTTGTTACGTACCCGCTTTGCAACAGGGGTCCCAGCGCCAGCTGGGTGGGCGCCGTATTAAGTAAGAGTCCGTAGAGACGAACGATCGTCCCCCGAGTACCTCGCCAACAGAATAAATAGCCTTGGAAGAATAAGACGAGATGCTCGTTCGTGGTGTTGAAAACATGGCCATTGAAAACGCCTTTGTAGTGAAGGTGGCCTGGCTGTTGCACTTCGTTGGAGGTAGGGATGCCTCCCGGAGCTCTGGGGATAGGCAGGTAGGTATATGAGAGGCATCTGCAAAAGCTACCGTCGCCTCTCTTCAGTGTTGAAACCATCCGTCTCCCGGGAAGGTCAATCAAGAAGTTCCTCGCCCCCCCATGTCTGATACCACATCCCTTGCGTGCATTCGGCATGCCCACCCACCTGCAGCGGAGCTAGCGCGATGTCGAGCGGACCTCCTGTCCCGAAGGATCGCCTTGGACTCCAGGAGGAGCGACGTGGCGGAGGCTCGGCAGAACTGCCGCAGCCGGAAGGCGTTGTACTCTGAGCAGCTTGTCAGCGCCATGAGGATGGGTGAGCACCGTGGCGTTCCGATCGCAGCGACAGCCTCTTGTTCTGTGCTGAGTGCGTACTGTAGGCAGCGTTTGCTTGTCATGCTGGTTGTGCTGGAAAGTCTTGCGCCGTAGACAGGCTTACAAGCAGTTCAGGCGGGCCTGTGTTTTTTGCAACGCTGCCACATGTTTGAGCTTGTGCTTTCGTGTTTTGTCGTCAAAAGGCTGAGCCGCAGGCCGCACGACGCTTTCTCCGGCGAAAAACACGATCGTAATTGCTCCTCGTCCTCCCGTTGTTTTCTTCTTCGTTGCGTCCGTTCCCGCGTGCGTCTTCCGACCCACCATCCTTTCACGCGTGTTGTTGTCTGAGCAGGTGCCCTGAACGACTGCTTCCACATCTGGCACCAAGGACCGTTCGGCACTATCAACGGCTTCCGGGTTGGCAGGCTCAACACTCACGTGGTGGACTGGCAGGAAGTCAACGCTGGCGTGGGGCAGGCGGCCATCGTCCTTGTCACCGGTACGCTTGCGTTTTGGGCTTGTGATGCTTGGCGTGGTTCTGCGTACCCGCCCTGAGGATGTCGTGCCGTGTGCAAAGCGCCCCTTAGCGCCAGGAACAACGACCGTTCCGCCTTCTGTGTTTGTTTGGCCGTTTATGACGATGTCTCCCTTAGCACGCCAACCAAGGCTGCAAAGCATTTGCACGAGGAAAAAAGCGGGAATTTCCTAATTAGCTGTCGAACATGACACAATGTGGACGACATTGCCGCGGACGATCCCCAGGCTGGCCTGCGATATCGTGTAGAGTTTGTCATTATTTCCTCCCGTTCGGTAGCTTCGGCTGTGATGATTTGATCGCTTCGTCCCGGTGCCAGTCTCCACCCCGCCGTCCATGTTGTTTGCATGACACAGCCGTTTTATTTCAGCACCGCGCGAACTCTCATTCGCCAGCAGATACCGCCAGAGGTGTTAGGTGCGAGTGCCCGAGTGCCCACACCCTCAGCATGTTCAACGCTCTCCAATTTTCCCCTCGGCCCTTGTCTTCCCCTACCTTGCCCGTGTTCGACGGGTGGGTTGGCTCGGTTGGCGTATCTGAACTGGTATTCGGCTCCGTCGCTAAAACCAGTGGCGATGGCAATGGGCGTGGAGTTCACTAAGTACCTCATCGCTCCCTGCGGGAGCTTCACCAAGATCGCTCGTTCGGAAGACGGGAGGGTGCTCTACAGTCTGCACACGGACGAGAGCTTTAGCCTCTTCCCGCGGCGCAACTTTAACTTCGCGCTCAAGGCCTTCCTGCACTGCCTCGGTAAGCCGATGGCGTGGATGCATTCGCTGTCCATGTTTAGAGTCGCGGATTTGTGGGACGCAGTCGAGGGCGTGTGCCCGAGCTTACTTCTTGATTGTTGTTTCTTGATCAGAGCATCAGCCAAATGTATGCTCACCAGGGATCAGTCAATGTATCACTTGTGATCACAACCCCGTTTTGTATTGCTGCACCACCTAGATCGGCAAAAAACGCCGTTTCACATCGCGCCCGCGCTGCAAACGTTCGCCAGCGCGCGCACAAGCCCCGGCGGTGCGTTGCCTCTTAGGCAAGTGGTCACTGCCAGCATGGTCAAAGGCGTGCTTCGTGTCTTTCACTGGAAGGACGAACACACATGCGCCTTGCCAAATTTCGTAGGACGATGCGCCTGCCTCGGTTGGCAACTACCTAAGTATTTGTATCGCGCGGTCGTAGTCGTGCTACAAGGGTAGGTACTGGAACGCGCTGGAGCATCATTGTCGTGACGTTTGCATGTTTGCCACGTCCATTTTTTTTTCTGTTTGATCTTTCTCCTTAGGAGAAGTCGGAGATCACGTACAGGAACACGACCCGACGCTGAGACTCCCCTACCACATCAAGGAGAAGGAGGGCACGGTCGGTGGGCTCCCGGTGGCCCTGGGCAGCAGCTACGAGGACTGGACGCGTGCGCTCAAGTACATGCTGACAGACCTCAAGTGGATCGCCGCCTGGGCTGCCAAGTACCTCCCTCCGTGCTGAGGCCTTCACAACCGGTCTGTACGCGCCCGCTGGCACAAGTGAATATTTATTTCATTGTTTCGTTTTGAAGCCATAGACGCAGACAATATGCGAAGACCTTCCTGGAGAATAGGCATGCTCTTCGCGAACGGGTGAAGTGGGCGTGCATAATCGGGGCCCGAACCACTATGTAACCTCTTTCTTTTGTGCTAGATGGGGTAGTATATTGAATCCGCCGCAGGGAACCAATAGCAGCGGTGAGAGTGACTGGGTAGGTTTGAGTATGCGTTTCGGTGTCTTGAAGTGCCTACATTTCTCTGCAGTAGTTGGACCGGTAATGGATCGTTTGTAAGACGGCCTTGGAATGTTGGCGAGCTTTTGGTGTCTCGTGCCATTAGCTGGGCGATTTAATTCAGCAGCCGTCTGCCTTTATGTCTTGAGACGCACGTGTGGCCTTATCGAAACGAGGTTTCGACGCTGCGTTTGTTGGGTAATGCAGTGTTTCGCGGTGTATTTTCGCGGTTCGTCTATAACCGCTTTGTTTTACGCGCCCGATGTAGCGGTGCTGTAGCCGCGCGAGAGGTTTAGCGGCTGCAGTGTTCGACATTGATGGTACCTGTTGAATCTTTAGAACTAACGCCTCCTGATTGGTCGGGCGTTGATTGCCGTTGGTTCTAACGGTCGATTCTTCTTCAGCGCCCTCTCGCCGTTCCGCATTCCGCGAACTCGGCGCAGTCGCAAGCTCGTCCAGTTCGCGGCCGCAAGGCCGTGCGTTGGCCGTGGGTGAGGGTGAGGGTTAGGGTTAGAGTTGGGTCATGTAGAGTCGGCCACGGTACGTGACACATCCCGTGTGAGGAACCTACTGTAGGTTCAACATTGGCTAGACCTCAAGAGTGACTATCAAAGTGTATCCGAACCTCAGCGGCGATGCCCTGAACTAAACAGCGGTTCAACAATTTATTAGCAACACGTTAGTTGACGGCTAAAACCGTGACCACGACTGGATGGAGCACTATATATGCATGTCGCACCACGGGTACGCAGAAGCGCGTGATGTGAGCGGAAAAAATGTTGGGTTGTGCTATGCATATGGGTCTACAACTCGCTGATGGCTTGTCGAGATCTATCTCCGATGGGTTATTATGATCGGCGAGGACGGAACGAAAACGACGCCGTTCGATGGCTGTGGCATACTTCTATATCGCAAATTTATCCTGCGGAGATTTCTTCGTCGGGGTACGGGCCGCCGGGGAACACTGGGTGTTTGTTGTGTTTGTTTCTTCCTGGGTACAGCGATCTCTCCGCACTAATGGGGACGTAATTCTCATTTTGGCCGAGGCTGGGGTTCTAAGCTCCTCTGGGGTCATGCTACTTATTGCTGCTATTATCGAGCTTCTAGGTTTCAGCCGGAAGGGGTTCTTATCCGTGCTCGCTCACAAATGGTGCTCTCAGACGTTAGAGGTTTGCGAGCCTCGATTTTTCGAGCCCCAAGTTCTTGACTGGGAGCTAAAACTGTTTTTTTTTTTTATTTCGAGTTTCGGCGATTGATTGTATGGCTTGCACCAACTGAATGGGGTACTAAGACGCCGGGGCCTCGGTTCGATGTTGGGGATATGTACTGGGGACCGGCTGACTGATATCGTTCACACGTCCACACCTCGTTGTGGTAGATTACATGCGTTTTTTTTGCTACGCAGTGTCTATCGCCGGAAGTACACTACTGGGAGCTCCCGCACCTATGCATACTCTAAAACCTTTTAAATGATATGTAGGCTGTCATGACGGTCCTGTACATACTTTATTTAATTTGATCGAGCGGGAGCCTTACATTATTCAACGTTCACTCATCATTCGCCGTTCAACGTTCGTTCCATTCGCATGCATTACACGACAGTTTGTCACTCAGCAGGCAGGCGTGTTGTTTATGAGCTGAGTGTTCATGACCAAGGTTAATACCACAGATCCTGCTTTGAAAGATTGGTGTTGACATCGAGCCTATCGTAGGTAGCACGTCGGGGCGGTAGGATTACGAGAGGAGTCAGAGGTGTTACAATTAGCGCAGAGTGTGCATGCATCATACATGTATGTACGGCTGTAAGTAAAACTATGTATGTATATGTGCATAGGAGGTTCGTTCACGGTGTTCACTTCACAGGTGGAGGTCGACCCCCTTCTCCAAAATGTCGGATGCCTTCGCCCTCTTGTGGAGACCTTGACAAGTCGAACATCTTGGAGAAGACAAGACAACCAAGCCCTCGAAAGGGGAGAAATCGAGGTATTTTTGAGGCCTTGGTTGTCTTCTCCAAGGTGTTCGACCTTGTCAAGGTCTCCACAAGGGGGCGAGGGCATCCGACATTTTGGGGAAGGGGGGTGGACGTCCACCTGTGTTGCTGGACCATGCAGCCACCAAGGTTCTTGCAAACACCTCGGGTCAACTACAGCATGTGCGTACCATGTACCAAGAGAGTTCGGAGAAATTTCCAGATCAGACAGGCCGAACGTTCGTGATCTAAAAAGTCATATTATTTCGTCTGTTCGTCCCGCCTTTGGTGTTTCGCGACACATAAGCAGATCAGAGCATATCAATTTTCCATCAGCGGAGACACAGCAGCACTTGACTAGATCCTCGACACAGACTGTCGCCGTTCCTTGCGCCCCGTGCCTCACAACCCCCTGCTCCTAGCGGATCGGGACAGGAATTGCCGAACGCTTGTGAGGTAAGCTGGTTGTCTGCTTGCCATTACGACGCGAGTGATTTCTAAAGCGTGCCAAGAGCAGCAGCACATACATGGGCATGTTGCGCAAGTGTTGTCCACGCCACGAGAGTCCAGTTTCCTTTCACAAGGCTTTTGTGTACTCATGGTCCACGCGCGCTGTGCGCCTCGCAGGCTCCCCACCATGACCACCTCGACCGGGATGCAGGCGCCCGTCGCCACGACAAGCAGCAGCAAGTGGCCGAAGCTGTGGGAGGGCCAGACTCTCAAGGGAGAAGCAACCAAAGCGGTCGATCCCTCCGCTAGCTGGTAAGCTCGACGCCACCGCAGAGCAGCGTTCGTGATCTATGCATATGCGTATACCCTCAATCAAGTATCATGCTGCGCACGTACCGGGCATACCGACAGAGGAGAGCAGCAGTAGGGTTTATCTGCCGCACTGATAGCAGCAGCCAAATAGCACCGCGGCTGCTGCAGCTGCTGGCTGAACCCGCTGCTGTTCATGATTCACTGCCGTGTAGTATTGTCAAGTTGTTACTTGGAGAAACTGCCGACTCATGAGGCACGCGCGAGGTGTTGTGTTTATCTCCATGAGGAAGAAGGGAGAGTTTGAGAGCACTCGAAGTTGGCCGGAATTCGTTGTGGTGAACAGCAGTATTGCTGTAGTCTCCAAAAACTTCCCGTTTATTATGCATATGTAATCGTATTTACATACGTGCATAGCCTGCGACTGTAGTCAGAACCTCGAAATTCAATGTGCTGTAATGTGCAATTACATACAAATATTGTACTGTAACAGTACAGCGGACGTGTTGCGCAGTTCGGAGTGAACGAAATGAAACCGGTTCATTCGTGAGGTGGTACTGAGTGCTGTGTATACATTGGAAACTCATCAACGCGACTTTCACGGTCGACACGCTGTGGGAACGGTTAGGTTGAAGAGTGCGTACGAGAGACATGCAAGAGATGGCCCGAGACGCAGACAGCGTGGTCTTGTTGTTGTTGTTGTCTTAACGTTAAGGGTCGGTCTTAACGAAGAAATCAGATCTCGAAATCACATTCACATTTGGTTATAAGACCGGAAGATCCACAGAACTCTTTCGTTGATTGGCTGAAATGTTATGGAACCCGTCGAATCTTCAGGACTTATAACAGGACGACCCAAAACCAAATCGGGATTAGAAAAAAGGTGTTGTGTCATATTAAGAAAAAAAAAAAAAGGTGAAATCATTTAATCGGATCCCGATTTGGGTGAACAGCGTCCATAGTTGCGGGACCACGGTCTAGTCGCATACACGGCGCGTGCCCACCTACCCCCATCCACACGAACTCCATCCACCGCCGAGTACAGAGGAAAGAAAGAGCGCAAAAAGCCAACCCAAAGGGAGGGTGACAGCGCATCGTTGTTACACGTGACTGGTCCCGAAAAAAACCGTGTGTGGGATGTGTTGGTCTGTTGGGCAATCTCCCGTGGGTTGTCGAACTTCAAATGCACTGACGAATTGGCGGCTTTCTGTCGGACGAGGGTCGATTCAAAGTGCCACATGCATAGACATCGTGTCAGAACCGCACAGAGGCCATGTACGCGTTTGGTGTGTGCTTCTCGGGAGCGATAGCTCCCCATGTGGTGTGGCCACGTCATAGCAGTACGTCACAACAGCAATCTGGCAGTTGGGCAAGCGGCGGACCTCTCGGGTTGTTCGTGGTTGACTGGAGAGATTCGTTTCCATTTGGCAGATCTCCGGTTAAGACACACAGGCCATTTCTGTCCGGATTTGGGTAGATCCGACTCTTTTATTCTTATATCGAAATGTGATTTCGAGATGTGATTTCTTCGTTAAGACCGACCCTAAACTCGTGTCAGTTGCTATAGAGTTATTTAAAACTCGATTCATGGACCGGCAGGACTTTTTTGGGCCTTTCGCTGCTTTGTACATTTTTGCTGAAAAGGTCCCGTGATACAAGTTGTATAAAACTCGAGAATAGATCTTCACAGGATAAAAACACAGGACTGTTAGCCTGCGCCAATACATCCACGGACAGCTGGGGTTGGGCAGGTTGGGCTGCCGTTGTGGTGCAGCCAAATTTGATCAACCGGAAACAAGCAGCATGCGAAATTAGAGTGCCTTTTTTCAAGGTGATACGAATATGCACACCCTAACGTAGTAAACCAATAGCGGACAAGGCGCGTTCGTCTCTGCCAAGAACGCCCCCAACCCACGCTAGCCTGATACTCTGTATTTTGGCACGCGGGCACGTTGATGATAACAAACCGTTGGTCCTTGTTCTCTTTTTTTTGTGCCAAAGAGAAAACGAGAGAGGGGGTTAGAAAAGACAGGCAGACAGCAGTTAAAAAAGACAGGCATACAGTATACGCACACCCTGTGCATCAACGGCAACAACAACCTCCAGCCTCCCCGCCATGCCGACTAGGAAGGGCCGCTTTCCACCAAAAAAGTAACGGGGCGGCCTATAAGCTAGGCGGCGAGCCTTGTGGAACAACTGTGTCTGTCCGTTAGTTCGTCTGTGCTTGCGTGCGATGGCGGCACCAGAGAAAAAGCGAGAAAGAAAAAGGAGCACGACGAGAGAGGAGGGCAGAGGGGAAAAGAGAGGGTGTAGCAGCATGCGTACGTG